ATATATATATATATATATATATATATATATATATGTATAATTATTTTTAAGTAAGGAACTGTACCTCAGCTTGGTTTTAGATTTTCATCCATCCATTATCTTTCCTTTTCCCAAACAACAGAGCACACGGAACCACATTGAACACTTGGACATTATTATTATTATTATAGTAGTAGTAGTAGTAGTAGTAGTATTACTGGTAATTTTGTTATCTACTTTCTTTTCCCTGTACTGGTAAAGGATGACAGAATAAAAAAATAAATAAAAAAATCAAATCAGCTGTTTGTTCACTTCAGAGATGAGCAGTGTCTAAAATACAAACTAAGTTCTTGTAAAACAACCCTGATTGTTTTTAATGAGGAAAACCAAACCGGTACACGGCAGAAGTCTGTGCAAACCTCAATAGAAAAAAAAAGACAAACCGTTTAAAAAAAGATCTTTTATTCTACATAAACTGATTCAAAGTGCCAGATATCTATAACTGTTAACAATAAAACCTATTTGACAGTAGCAAACAGGAAAAACAGGTTCTTTTGGTGATGGTGGCTCCTTTACATCCCTAAATGATAAAAGAGATTCAGCTGTGAATTAAACAAGTTAATTGAAGTTGTAATATTTATAATTACTACCAAGTAATTTTTTGTCTTGACCTACAGAGCAACAAAAAAATACTTTAGATGTACAAAGTACCAGGCTCATCTGTGTCCCGTATGTGACAAAAAAATAAAAAAATGTACTGACCGTCTGCTTCTGTTTCAGTTGGAGGATGTAAAAGAAAAAATGGAGGAACTGGAAACTTTTGACGCCATGCAGGTGATGAAGAAACAACAAGCCAACCAGCGCCTAAAGAGAGACCTGGACCAGTGCAGGAATGGTGGACTTCATCCTAGACCCCAACCCACTAAGCATACAGAGGGTAAGACCAGGTCTGACCTGAAGCCAAACTAACAGAGGAGGTGAAAGAGACTGTTTGCATCATAAAGGATTTCAAATTAGCTTTTTTAATCATGGAAAATACTTAAGAACATAATGGAAATAACTTACAAAACAAATATATATTTTTAAATGCTTGATTTCTTTCTGTGTGTTAACGTTTTACAATGTTTCCAGGAACCTGCCCCCATGGTCGGTTTCTGAACGTCACTGGGCCAAGAGTCTTCACAACAGGAGAGTATCCTGGCTCGTACAAGTATGGAGCCTGGGGTCGGGATCCCAAGCCAGAGGAGGGGAAGGAGAGCTGGCATTGGCTGGTCATGTTGACGTCCAGCAACATCTATGCCCACTACGTCCGTTTCTACTCCACCCTGAGCTCTATAATTGTTGGAGTGAGCACCCCAGGTGAGACGCTGAACTGTGAGGTCAACAGCATTTAAAGGCCAATCCCGAACTTGAAAAAAAAATAATCATTTCATCTTGTTTTCTGAAGGAGCAGGGCCCAAACCCCTCTCCTAAATCCACCATTGCTTCTTAGAACAGCTGAAGTCTAAAATGAGCATTTTCAGTTAAAGCTATAGTAACGATTTATGTTATAGCACTTTTGATAAATGAATACTGTACGTTGGATGTTAATATTAATGTACATCCACATTTGGAATGTTTATTTGCTGCACGTTTTGTGCGGCGTTTTAATACTTTAATACCTTGGCTTCAAGGATGACGTGTTCAGCTTGTCTTACTTGTGCAATACTTAAATACTTGCAACACTTGGCTTCTTAAACACAGAGAATTTTAGGTCAAAGTTTATACAACCATCCTTAAATATTTTATTTTGAAAAGAAAGCGGTGTTAAAATTGACATAACTTTTATTTTTAATATGTTGCATTTTGCACAATAAAAACAGTTAGGCCTGTCGCAATAAACCAGTTAATCGCATGATAAATGAAAATGATCAACCTCATTTTTATTTATTGGCGTTATCGTTTCTTCATAGCTCTCTCATACTGAAGACGCTGGATGACAAAAGGCTCAACTCCGTTGCTCTTCACTGACCTCTCCCTTTCTCTTTTCTCTTTAAAAATATGTTTTAACCATCCAAAATCGCGTTTTTGGATCGTTAAATGGTGCTAAGCTGAAAAGCTAAGCTACAAGCTAAGCTAACAGGCCGACGTTGGGGAAAAAAACTCCATATGGTCGAAGCTCCAAAATTCACAGTTGAAACCTGTGTCTTCATGTAAAAAGTTGTTTTTCTCTGCAAAAAGAAGCTGAGAACTTGTTTACTGATTTTTTAATTAAAAGCTTTGTGTGAAAAATGCTAGGCTAAAGAGCTCAAACCACCCCGTGCGTCCACCATTTTGAGAACCAAAAGAAAGGAAGGAGAGACAGCCCATGTCACATCAAAAGGCCTCCCTCCCTTTTTTCTTAAAGAGAGACACTGCTCCCTCCCTCACTATCCATCCTTAGGTTCAAACAGTCTTATACGGCCATTTGGTGGCCAAAAAAGGCATTACATTCAAAACAATTTAACCATCATTTTTTCTTCTTAAAACCTTGTACTCCTTCAGTAAAATAAACCACAAACATATATGAAAACCATCATGGGGAAAAATTAAAAGCTAACTTAAAAAAAAAAAAAAAATTATGTGAAATCGCCAGAATCTTAAAAAAAAACTGTGATACAAATTTTTAGTCATACCGTGCATCACTAACATGCGGTGTTCCCTCACTGAGGACTGAATAGGCAAAAGGGTCTTCTCCTACTCCGCTCCTGTTTCCTGGAATATCTTGCAAAAAGATCTGAAGCTCTCAACCTTGATCTCTCTAAGTGGCTTCAAACATCTGCTAAGTTCATGGCAAAAACCCAATGCAGACATGTTTCTGTTTTTAGTTTTCTATATCGCTGTATAATCTGTTTTTTACTTTGTTTTTTAATACCATTTTCTCTCATTTCTCTATTTGTATGCTTTCTTTTATGATTTTCTACTGTTGTCCTAATTCTTTGTTAAAATCAGGTCTCTCTTGTAAATGAGTCCTCGAGGCTCAGTGAGACTAACCTGTATAAATTGAATGAATGCATAGAATCAAGTCCATGAAATGCATTTTTATTAAAATGACAGTCTTCTTCTGTTGTTTGATGATTTTTTTTTTTTTTTGTAAAAGGTAATGTTCTGATCCATCCATCTAATCCAACCACCAACACAATTCAGGGCCCAAACGTGGTTCTGTATGGAGGGGCCCTGTACTACAACTGTTACAACAAAGATGCTGTTTGTCGTTTCAACCTCACCACAAAGAGTATTACCACTTTACAGCTACCCAAAGGAACCAGGTTGGTGTAAAACATGCTGAAGCCTGTCAATATTTTTGTGCCATTGATTATTTTAGGTCTAACCATTTTCTTTGTCTTCCAGGTATAATTCCAAAGCTAATTTCTGCCACCTTGACGAATGCTACGTGTTCACTGACCTGGATCTAATCACAGATGAGTCTGGTGTCTGGGTGGTGTACACCACCAATCAGGACTTTGGAAACCTGGTTCTATCCAAGGTGGAGGAGGAGGAGAACCAGCTGCTGAGTCTTGGTCAGACTTGGCGCACTTCATTTCCCAAAAGCAGTGTCACCAACACCTTCATGGTCTGCGGTGTCCTCTATGCAACGCGCTACGTCGACAAAAACTTGGAAGAGATCTTTTATTCGTTTGACACCACAACAGGGAAGGAGAACTTAAATGTTGGTATTTTCATAGATAAGATGTCTCCTAACATTCTCTCCTTAAACTACAGCCCGTTGGACCAGATGCTGTATGCCTACTGTGACTCCAAATTGGTCTCCTATGAGGTTTTGTTTGAGAAGAGAAGCAACTTTTATCTGTAAAAATCTGTCAAATAATGGCACAGATATCATTTTATGCCATAAAGAATCATAAAGCTGATGGTTTGTTTGTAGCCACATTCTACTTGTGCTCTTTTCAGTGCTTTTTAAAGAAAACCCTTTTCTGCTTTGCAATTTTGTTTGCAAAAAAATACAGTTTTGTTAAACTTCATGTTCAAACTCCACTTTTTTTTTTTTTTTTTTACAAATAACTTGACACCGGAATTCAGAAATTACGACATTTATCCTTTATTTCTTACTGGTTACTTGATCAGTACATGGACAGAGACATCTAACTTTGTATTTATATAGTATATATATTATATTTAAATTTTACAATACACATCTGAATGACAATGAAGCAGGTAGGAGTCTTTCTACAGTCGTGAATAGAAACAAGCTAACAGGGAAGACTCCCACAATATAAAACAAACAAGAAAATAAAGAACTTATTGCTTCATACAAATGATTCATAATGGCAGTAAGAAGAAGCATAAGAGTAGTAGTAACACATTTATCAAGATTATTGTACCAGTATGATGTTACACCCTACAGTTACCTATAAAAAAAATAAAAATATGTTTTGTCACGTTAACAGTGGTTAGTGTTCGGTACTGGAAACCTGCTCTATAAATAAAAAGTATCTACAAGAGCAAGGAGGACCAAGGTCTACACAAACTGATCCAGTGCCAGCTTGCAAGAGCTGTGGACGCTCGTAAGTCATCATTACCGGTTAAAGACCTTGGAGAGGAAAGCTGAGGAAGGAGCTCGTTTTTTAAGTACTGGGTTAAATGTCAAAAATGAGGGACAAAGATAAGAAGTGCAAACCAGAGTGAGAATGAGGTGTGGGTTGACAATACTGTACAGCACTTCAAAAAGGGACAAGATACATTCAGGAGCCCCCCAGGCAGTGTGGGTTGTAGTGGTGTAGGAGGAAACCAGAGTGTAAGTAAGTGGCAGAAAATAGCTTTGTGAAGAGCAGAAACACTGAAAGATGATCGTACACAAACTCCACAACATGCAACCGTGAATGTTCGTGAAATTGGTCGCGGGCTGTTTGATCTGATCTCATCGTCTCCTTCTTCCACGTCTTTAAAACATGAAGCTTATTTTATATTGTTAAATACATGAACAACAAATACTCTTTCATGCTTCAACGAGTTCACATTCTTTTCCTTTAAAACATTCATTCAACTATGTTTCAGGTCAGCATCTCTCTCTGTTTTGTTAACCACTTCTTGTTCATGTTTCTCCATCGCCCCCTGGTGCTCAGATACTGCAACACTACCAACATCTTGAAAAGTGACTTCAGCTGATAGCCCTTTAGGGTGCCGCTGGGTTTGCCTGTGAGAGCCGGGGCACCAAGTGATTTTTAAGGGGATTTTTTGTTGGTTTGTTAAGGTGGCTGGGGTTTGCCCTACATTCTGAGCTTGGAGCCCAAATGGCGCCAAAAAAGCCCCGCCCCTGACAGGCGGCCTCAGGGAATTGCACACCTCAATGTTTGGAAGCTACACTGCTTCCTACAGAGGACCAAAGTTTTATTTTATTTTATTATCATTATTACTTAAAGCACGAAGAAGTGAAGTGATAAATACTGCACCACAAAACCAGGAGCGCCATGTTTGATCTCCAACGAGGTGGTCCAAAACAACGACAGACAACAGCACATGCCTTTTCTGCTCAATAACTACACTTGATGTAAATATGTACGACTAAAAGAGCTGAACTACTGAGATTATGGCTACAGAGAACACCAAAACATCCACTAACTTTGTAAAGATAGATTTTTTTTAGGTGTTAATTTTGTGTATATCAGTCGTTTCTTTAGAGCAATCCCATCACAAAGCCCAGCCCACGCAGTTTTCCTCTCAACATGTGTGGAAATGTGTTGTAGTCGAGGAGATCCTGTGAGTCTGTGTGCAGGTAGGCAGCTTTGGTTTATACATGCAGAGGGGCTGCGCGCTGTAAGGGAAGCTCTTTGCAGCCGTCCTGCAGAAAAGCCATTTCGACTGGCATGGTTCTGCCTCGGATCCCCGGTCTAGTTTGGTTTGGATCAGTGTGTGATTGTCAAGTTAGAGACCACAAAGGTCCGACTATGGCCAGAACCACATCCATGCAGTGGAGCTACAGACGATGACAGTGGTTGCACCTACATACTCAACTACTTGATCTATCGAAGAATGCCCTATTGTTAGATACTACTCGTACTAGAATGCCCTAAAAATCACATTCACATGCAAATACGTTGTACTTCTAGGTTTTATTTGTATAGCAGATTGTCTTGTTGGACGCACAAAGATTAAAGCTGCATTCAGCAACATAACACTAAAGTGGATGCAAACAGCAGTAATATAGAAAAACTTTAGACTTTAATTATCTAACTCGTTCTTATGTTACGTCAGAAAAATTAGCAGTTTGCTCACATGACAGGAATTAGAGCTTCCTCCAATTTCAATGAGAGCATTTGGCTTTGATTAATCTCTTATGAGACTAACAAGTGCGTTAACAAACGTAATAAATGATAACTACGTACGGTGCATGCTAAATTTAAACATCATTCTGAAGCAGTCTTTAATGCAGATATACATCATTACATCTTCATGCTAAATTCACAAATAAAGGCATGCTGGTGAAGAGCTTCACAGTCTTTTTTTTTCTTACAATGTAAAGCAAGATGCTATACTTTTTTGACAGCTTAATTCGTTAACAGACACTAAATCCAAGCATGTAAAAACAGACACCTCTTATAAGGCCATTCACGGTCAAGCTTTTTCATCTTTAGAAAGTGCAAAATTAAAAAAAAAGAAACGTTCAATAAATGAATTAACTCTCACATGCCTATAATGAGCAAACGTGTTTTCACTTTTTCTAACAAGCGGAGTTCAACAAGCTGAAGCAGCAATCGCAGTTCATTCGACAGTTCTAGTTCTACGTGCACGGTTTATTACGCAGCTCCAGATTGTCATCTAGCGCAAAAGTTATAAAAGAAAATAAACCACTTCCACCTTGTTCGCTCTGTCATTGTGATATTGCAGCAATAAAAGCAGATCCTGGTGGTCTAGTGGTGAAACTGGTTTCATCTCCTGTCTTAAGAAAGATGCTTTTACTGACGAATAACAGACCCCAGGTAAAATAATAATACTCTGCTGCTTTCAAATTATGGTTTTACATTTTTACATCAACTTCTACCAAGTGCAGCTTTAAATCAATGTGCTGTGCTCTATTTATGCTCTAAATCAGCTAATGAATCGTGTCTAAGAGCTACCAATACACTCGACTACAGCGAGGCTTGGTGGTGCTGTCTGTCCAAGTCTGGACTCACCTCCACTTTGTGTTTCCCTGCTCCTCGTGGAAAGAATCATCCTTACCAACAGCGCAGAGAGAGATGCTATAAACAGGTAATACTTTCAAAAGACACATGCACAACACTTTATCTGTTTACATTACCCCCCCATATGGCACCCCCCCTCAAAGTTCTTCTTTCTTTTTTCCCCACATTTGACATTTTCAGCTTCATTTTCAATGTTAATGGCAGCTTTTCGTGAGATATTGCTGTGCAGATTTGTTTTGAAGACAGCTGTATTTTTTAAATTTTTGTGTGTATGTAAGTTGGGGGGTGGTGGTGGTGGGGGGAGGTGTTCAAAGGGCGCAGGCAATAATGAGGAACATTTAGCAAACACAAGATTGACACTTCAAGAGCAAAACCAGTTGGTTAAATCTTTCAGTGTGGGGGGAAAGGAGGGACAAGGGGGGATATTTAAAGGTCTGCTGGGTGCATTAGTAACAATACTTATGGTATTTTACAGCGAAAGAGGAAAGAAAATGGCACATTAAAGGGATATGGAGGAAAAAAGACGAAGACAGAAAGAGCCGTGAGCTTCTTCAAGCTAATGTTAACCCCCAGCTCCCATCATTTCTGTTTCCTACTTTCTCTCTCCTTCCCCTCAGCCTCTTCTTTCACTCCGTCAGTATGTGGCTCTTCAGCACGACACCTCCATGGTTTGGGTGACAGCACCGACTCCATCGGCGCTGTCAGAGTTGGTGCAGGCCCGAGAGCGGTTCCCCTCCCCGGAGCCAGCGCTGGTCAGAGAGGCCGTTCTGGAGCGAGCCAGGCGGGTCATACTGGCCGAGGGCACTGGAAGGAAGGCAGAGAAACAAAATAAAAATGGAAGAATTAGGTGTTGGGGTTTGTAAAAGAAAAACATGTAATCAGCTGATGTTGAGGGAATGTAGGGAGTACATGCTAATGTAGATAACTAAAGGATTTTTTGGTTGGTAGCTGGTGAAAAAGTCAACCAGCCATGAATAGTTAGGGATTTTAAACAATGTGTCTACATAGACACGTTGCTAGCACCATGTTAGCACCATGTTAGCACCATGTTAGCTTGTTAGGTAGTCTGAACACAATCTGTCCTGAGCCAAACCAACGCTATCAGCTGATTTAAAACTATTAAAAAGCCATCCTTGGCAATTTTCTGAAAATTCCGCCTTTTTGTTCTTTTTGTTTTTTTCAACTCAACATTTTATTGAACTGTTTATATGAATGCCTTTTGATACTTTGAAATGTCCACTTTATCTAGGTTTTATTCAACAAAGGGGGTTACAGGATGTTGATGAGTGAGTTTACCTTTAGTGTTTGTTTTGATTGTTTTCAAACAATTTGGTGGACAAATACATCTTTAAAAAGGATTTAGTTAATCCAAAATGCTGTTGCCAGAATCTTAATGGGAGTTAGTAGGAGATACCATTCCTCCAGTTTTAGCTTCTCCCCATTGGCTCCCTGTCAAATCCAGAATTGAAAATCTTACTTCTAACCTACAAAGCCCTCAACAACCTAGTTCCATCTTATATTACAGATCTTATTGTTCCATATTTTCCTAACAGAGCACTTCACTCTCAGACTGCAGGTTTACTTGTGGTTCCTAGAGTTTCCAAAAGCAGAATGAGAGGAAGATCTTTCAGTTATCAGGCTCCTCTTGTGGAACCAACTTCCAGTTTGTGTCCATGTGGCCGACACATTGTCCAGTTTTAAGACTGAGCTTAAGACTTTCCTTTTTGATAAATCCTATAGTTAGGGTTGACTTGTTATGCAGCTATAAGCTTATACTACTGGAGGACAAATTGACCTAAATTCTTAAAATCAATTGTTAAAATTTAATATTTTTCATTTTATACTATTTCTATCTTAACATGTGGTTCTCGAACTGCCATTGTGTATCTGTTCCTCCTTCTTGTTCCTCTCAAACCCAACCGATCGAAGCAGATGGCCACTTGTCCTGAGCTTGGTTTTGAGGGAGGCTTCTTCTTCATTAAGGGGTTTTTCCTTTCCACTGTTACCTTTATGCTTGCTCAGGATGAGAGTCTGCGATGAAGTTAAACTCAAAGCAGTCTGCTCCCCAGATAATTAATGTTATTAACTTACTTTTTATGTATATGAATGTTTCTGTTCAGTGCCCTGAGATGACTTCTGTTGTGACTAGGCGCTATATAAATCAACTGAATTGAATTAAATTGAACTGTTTTTGACCTGCTGTGGTCACTGCTTGCTAAAATATGTTGTGTGATTTGCAAGACAACAGCATGAGCAGTGTTATGTTGCACTGTTGTTATCTAATTAAACACAGAGGGCATGTGGCGTTCACTGTAAATCTGTATATAACAGCTGATACTCTGAACAGCCTCTAACGGTGCTCCTGACCACCAAACAAATTATAGTCCTACACTTTGATCCAGGCCTGTGGCCTGTTGTCACTACAACCATCTGAATAAGCATTTGGCTTCTAATGTTAATGTTAACATAATAATGTTCAATGGTGTAACAATGGTGTACCACAAGGTTCTGTCTTAGGTCCCACCCAATTCACAATCTATATAGGTAATATAGGTCAGAGCATCCCTGATGCATCTTTACATTCCTATGCTGATGATACAGTGTTGAGCTAAAACAGTTTCTAAGGTTGTCCAGCTTTTGCAATCCGCCTTTGACATCATCCAGTCTGATTTGTTCCATTTCAAACTTGTACTAAAGGCAGACAAAACCAAAGGGATGTTGTTTTCAAACAGGAAGTCGGTCCCAGCAGACCTTCCCTCGATTTTGTCTTTGAATGCTGTTCCTATTGAGTTTGTCGATTCTTACAAATACCTGGGTATCTCAGCCGATTCACATCTCTCTTTTTAGCCCCACATCAAAAATTTGGTAAAGAAACTGAAAGTTAAACTGAGTTTCTTTTTCAGAAATAGATCCTGTCTAACTCTGAATGCTAGGAAACGCCTTATATCTGTGACTTTCCTTCCCTCCAATGACTATGGTGACATTATTTGCATGAATGATCCTGCTAACACCTTGCAGATGTTGGATGCTGTCTATGTCTATGTTACTGTTTTTAGTATTTTATATCACTTTAATATGTACCTTGTTCTTGTTTGTTTGTTCTTAACATCATTTTCTTTCTTTTTTTTTTAAATTTGCATGCTGCCTTTTACGATTGTCTACTTTTGTCATTGTCGTCTAGTTGTCATTATTCTTTGTTAAAATCAGGTCTCTCTTGTAAATGAGTCCTCGAGGCTCAGTGAGACTAACCTGTATAAATAAAGGTTGAATTGAATGTTATTTTTATAAGGGGGTATTAGTTGAAACATTACATCACAAAATGTACTTCAAGAAAACAATTTGTCTGTTATTGTCTTCAGTGTATTGTAAGTCTGCTGTAGTCAGCAACATGCTTGCTAATATCAACTGAGTTAATTATTTTTGAATAATAAACATCATGTTCATTGTATTAAAGTATAAAACATGTCAGTTTGTAGGGTCACAAATCTCCACCAACTGGGCCCTACTCTCTCTTTAGAAGTCTTTGGTTTCCGAAGTCTTCAAGAGAAGAAAACCTTAAGTTCATTTAGCATCTCTGTCAATAACTGTATCAGTCCAAATATCAGAAGAAATGCCTGCAATGTTTAAATATAAAGTTTAACACAACTCTTACTAAAATCAATGTCCTCAAAATTAACAGATTTACCGTAAAATACATTTTTTGAATGCATGTGAAGTATTTACTTTTAATAAATCTTCCGTATGGTGCATAACAAAAGCTTCAAGCCAATCATCTTAAAACTCAGTGGGGTACATTAAAAGAGATCTGTGAGTATTTATTTGTATATTTTTGTGATTTGTTAGGAACATAGCTCATGGGGCTTTGCTCAAAGCTAGCATAACGCCATGCAAAGAGCAATATTGGTGATGCAATGAGAAGGAATGGGGGGAAAGAGGAGTGAGGGCTGTGTATTTTTCCACTGAAGGAAAAATTGTGTTCGATAAAACGACAATGGGGTTCAATGCTCTTGGGGTAAAGAAAACAACAGAAATGAGAGCAAAATTAAAAGAGATAATCACAGCGCAAAATTATTATTCATAACCCAACAGATGAACCAAAAGAAATAGAAAATGCCATCGAACGGGGCAGCAGTAAGAGTTTAGAGCCGAATGGGGGAGGAGGAAGTACCTGGCCCTCCACTCAGCCTCCGATCCTTCACATAAGCAACTGAAAGAACGGGGCAAGGAAAACAGAGGGCAAGATTAACACATGTCCCGTCCCTCTGCAGGAAATACATTGCTCAATAAATCCGACAACTGAAGTCCTGCTGAAATAACTAGACAAGAAATGATCAGAAATATACATCATGAAATCACATTCTGGACAGAGTGTAAACACGGACACTTACTGTAGCCCATTCCCTGCAGGAAATACTTGAAGGCTTCAGTCAGTTTGGCAGGCTGCAAGATAACACATCAGTTTCATTCGATGAGATCATGAATGCTATGTTTACTGGTCTGTCTGATGTTTTTAACCCTCTGCTGATCGTATGGTGTGTTACCTGTGTGAGCTGGGGAAGTCCACCAGAGTCGGCCATCTGTCATGAAAAGAGAGCATCTATTAACCAAACTGATGATGACATAATAAACTTAAAAAAACACCTTGTTGTGTGAAGTAAGAAGTCACAAAAGCAAAAGCCCCAAAAGGCTGTGGGTGAGATTGGGCTTAAGTTTACCTTTAGAAAGGTGGTGTTGGTTGGGTCCAGTTTGGAGTTGCACTCAACCTGACAGACAAAAAGCAGCACTCATGTAATCAATACTTTAAACCAGAAGTAATTGTGTGAATGTTTATGAAGTGTTCACACTGTTGTGATCCATTTTTCTTCCCTACATTTTTCGGCATCTTTCTCGTTCCACAAGTTTTGTGCTATTTCAACAAATCATATCATACATTCAGCTCTTTCTGGCCAATCCTGCTATGACTTGGTATTGGTGCAACTTTAGCTTTTTTAAATATTTAGCCTTTTCTGCCATATTTTTCTCATAGAAAATAAATTTAGCTCATTTTACATCCTTCAAATCTTTAGATCTGTTTACAACCTTTTACTGCTCCTTTCACATTTTGTTCTGGTTCAGCTTCTTTGTGCACAGTTAAACTTTTTTTTCAGCTTCTTTCAGCTGTTTTTTTTTTCACAGCTGTTTTCTGATCCTTTCAGATTCTTTCTGCTAACTACAACATTTTTGTGCTTCTTCTAACTTCTTTCTGCTAATTTTAGCTTGATATGCTCCTTTCAGCTTATTTTTGCAAGTTGCAGCTTTTTCTTCTATTTCAGCCATTATTTAGCTGTTTTTAATGCAAATTGTAGCCTTTTTTTGGCTAATTCCACATTTTTTGCACTCATTTACTTTTTTCAGCCTAATTCAGCAAAAATGTGCTCTCTTCCATGCTTTATTTTAAGTATTGTAAGTTTCTTTTTGCTTTTTTAGCTATTGTTCAGCTGTTTTTGCTCATTTCAGCTTTTTTTCAGATAATTTCCACTTGTGTTAATTTCTGCTATTTTCAGCAAACACTAATTTTACCTTTTCAGCTACCTATTTTTTCTTTTTAGCATTTTTTAGCTAATTTCAGCTGTTTTCTGATAAATTAAATTGGGGGGGGGGAGGCGGTAATTTCTGCTATGGTCAGCCTAATTAACTTATTTCCACTAATTTCAGGTTGTTATGCTTTAAACTTTATTTCTGATATTTCAGCTACTGAGATGTTTTTGTGCAAAAGTTAACATTTTCAGCTAATTCCACATTTTTGAGCTCACTGCAGCTCCTTTCACTTCCTTCTGGTAGTTTAAACTTCTTTCAGCCTTTTAGCTAATTTCAGCTGTTTTTCAGCCAGTCCTTCAGCAATAAGCATTCACACTGCATTTTTACAGGAAATACAATTTCTCTAATCAACTCTAACCTTTGTATTTGTGTTATTTCTTTGTTTGCAAGTGTTTCCATGTTGTATGTTGAGCATCTTCAGTTAAATCACAAAAGTGAAAACAGTTTAGAAATAATTAAATTCCAGTTGCAGACAATCAACATTTAAAGGAAACAGTGCACGGTGTAATGTTTTATAAGGATTATGTTCCTGTGTATGCATGTGGCTGACCCAGATCCTGCTGTGTGCTGCAGGGCTGAATCCACTCAGCCTCACAGACACACAGAAATTAGACAGATGTGCACAAATGCTCACACTTAATGCATGACTGCTCAGACGTGAACTCACAAAGCGAGCATCATGCACATGACAGCTCATTTCACTCCGATGCGTTTAAACTCTTTGTACTAGTTGCTAAATCACACAGGTCATCGCACAAACATGACAATTAAAGCAAAACTGAAATGAAAGTTGTGTTGCAACTAAAAGTCATTCACGCAAATTTATTTCAAAAGACTTCTAAATATGAAGAAGGATGAAAAGTTAAGTTAAGAATGAATGCATCTTTCAAACTAAACTCAATTCCTTTGCTTTTGAAGTGACTCTGCAGTTATTAAGTATGAACTTGACCCCCATCTATGTTCAATAAATCAAGCTTTGTTTACATCACCCACATCTCCTCTCTGTATTTATGCTACGCTCCTGTCCATAGGCAGTTTTATTACAACGAGCCTCCCTGTCCACTCCGGCTGTCTTCACTGACAGGAGAGGTCTGATTTAAATCTGAGCGGGCGGCAGAATAACCGGTGCAGAAGCAAACACATCTGGGTCACTTTAAACAAGGAAACCCCAGAGACACAGCAAGGCTATCTGCCCCCTGGAGACTGCAGACACACACACACACAAACACACACACACACACATGCATAGTAGCAAAGACAAGCGTCATAACAACACAGAGATACACAGATGGACAGAAGCGGTGTCCCCGGAGGGCCAGGAGGGTTGGACAGGGACCAGGTCTCTGCTGGCTGACCTGTTTCTGTTTACCTGAAGCAGCTTCTTTTAAATGAATATTTATTTACTCTGAATCATGGAAGCAAGCTGAGCTGAAGGAGGAAGACAGCTGAGGAAACAGAAACTCTGTGATAAGATGACATTTATTTTTAGCCTTTCTTTACTGATGTTTAATCATCCATAGAGGATTTAGAAACCTTTGCTTTTTGTTTCTCTCTATTTTTGTCTTTGTTTGTTTCCTGTTTTTGTTGTGTGAATGTTTATGAAACATTCACACTATTGCGATCCATTTTTCTTCTGTACATTTTTCTGCACGTTTCTCGTGCTGCAGTTTTCAAGCTATTTCAACAAACCAGAAATCAAAACTTCAGCTCTTTCTGCACAATCCTGCTATGACTTTTGGTATTGGTGCAGCTTTAGCTTTTTGAAATGTTTAGCCTTTCCTGCCATATTTTTTTTTCTAAATGAATTGAGCTCATTTTACGTCCTTCAAATCATTAGATCTGTTTTACAGCCTTCTACTGCTCCTTTTACATTTTGTTCCGGTTCAGCTTCTTCCGACTTCCTTGTGCAAATTAAAACTTTTTTCTGCAGTTTTGTGCTCCTTTCAGATTATGCTAACTACATCATTTTTGTGTTTCTTCTAACTTCTTTTTGCTAATATTCAGCTCTTTTTAGCTTATTTCTGCAAGTTTTGGCCTTTTCTACTATTTCATCTAGCTGTTTTTATACTAATTTAAGCTGTTTCAGCTAGTTCCACTTTTTTCACTCAGCCTAACTCAGCAAAAATGTGCTCTCTCTCCACTTCCTTCTTGTAATTTCAGCTTCTTTCTGGCTTTTTAGTCATGTTTCAGCAGTTTTTTTGTTTGTTTGTTAGTAATTTCATCTTTTTTCCAGATAATTCCCACTTTTTTGTGCTCATTTCTGCTTCTTTCAGCAAATGTTCTTTCGTCTTTCTTTTGCTCATTTAAGCTTGTTCTATCTTTTAACTTTTCAGCTACATTTTTTTTAGCATTTTTAGATAAGTTCAACTGTTTTCAGATTAGTTCAAGGTTTTTTTTTTGCGATTCCTGCTAATTTCAGCTTAATTAACTCCTTTCTGCTAATTTCAACTTGTTATCCTTTCAGCTTTTTCTTCTGCCACTTTTCTGCTATTTCAGCTACTTTTAGTTAGTTGTTTTGTGCTAAATTTCGCTTTTTCAGCTAATTCCTCATTTTTTAGCTCATTTCAGCTCCTTCCACTTTCTTCTGGTAGTTTAGACTTCTTTCTGCCTTTTCAGTTACTTTTCAGGTTTTTGTCTGTGTGCAAATCTAAGCTTTTTAAGTAAATTTCCTAATTTTCTTTGTTAATTTCTGCTTATTTAAACCTATTTCAGCAAATATATGTTATTTCTTCTTTCTTCTGCTAAGTTAGGCTTGTTCTTCAATTTCAACTAAATTTTAGCATGTTTTTAGCCAATTTCAGCTGTTTTTCCAGCAAGTTTTTCAGCAATAAGCGTTCACACTGCATTTTCACAGAAATGTAAATTTCTCTAGATTGTTTTGTCCTTTCCTTTGGCCTTTCTGTCTATAAATCTGTTGTTTTTCATCCAGTCTTTTTTGCACACACTCTTCACCTTTCAGCTAATTTCAGCACAAACCTACATTATTTCGTTGAATGTGATATATTTGGTAAAATCACTATCTGGGACGTTTTTGGTCATTTGAATTGTTCGAAAGGCAACTGTGAATGGGGAGCTGAACTGTTTTGGATGTTTAGCTTTTGCTTTGCATGAACCAAATCTAACTAGCTTTGTATGTCTCCATGCAGAGTTTAGGTGTTCTCCACATGTGTGGAAGATCTGTCTTCCTCCTGCAGTATAAAACAGAAATATTTGGTGATTCTAGAATAATTGTAGCAGTGAGGTGTGAGGTGGTTTGTCTTGTGTGTCTTCAGAATCAAGAATAAATTATTGAAGATCTGATGTTTGGGGAAAACGTATTGAAGCATGTTAAAACATTAATTCTTAAGCATTGATAGGATTTAACAAACCTTTTTAGGTATTTTTATTATTACTTTTATTTATCTGTTTTTGTTGTTTATTATGGATATGTGAACAAGTGAACCAAGTTTTTATACCAAGACATGTTTTTTTTATTTACAGCATTTTACAGGTAAGTTGAACTTTACAAGTTTCAATTTCCAACTTTCTCCACAAGACATGTCATGAAAAATAAAATCAGACGATGTAGGACTCACCACTCCCTCCTCAGCAGGAGCATTGTCACCAACAACCAGCATCACAGGACATCTACGGAGAATCCATCACATGTATTTTCCATAACTATAATTGTTGGAAATTTATACGACATAATGCAACCATTAAAGGCCACATTTCAGAAGCTGCTAGAAGAAAAAAGTGTGCTCATCTAAATCCTGATCTTACATGTGAAGGAGTGTTTTTATTGGATTTTAATAGAATGCAAACTTTTGTCAGACTTTACTTTTTGTGACAACTGTGTCTGAAAACTCACTTCAAGGTTTTAGCGTTAATGGCCGACCCCCCACGGTTCATCTCCAGGTCCCTCCGGCTGTGAACGGCAAAAATGATAAGAGTTTGTTGGACTTCTGAGCTACAGAGAACGTGTCCTCTGAAGTGACAAGATGTTCGTTCACCTGTTGTACATGTTCCAGAAGAGCTGCAGGTTGGCGTGGTTGATCGAGTTGTTGATCTGTTGTCGGTAGCTCTGAACCAGTTCTGTGTTGCCAACCAATTCCTCCTGTGCACACACACGATTATACAAATGATTATTACCATTACAAGTAAGACGATTTGTTTATTAGCCTTATGAGTTTTAATTATACTGGTAGCATCATTCCCAAATACGTCTCAACATTTGGGTCAAACTACGGTGCTTTCTTTTCCCCTAAACTAATCAAATAATCTAATTTGGAGAAAAAAAAATCCAAGCTGGTCAGTCATTTCTTGATATCTTGATCTTACCTGACTGAAAAGATGTGGCAACACAATATCAGGGATGTTGCTGGTCAGACCCGACAGCTGAGGAAACAGTAGGAAAACTCATTATTTGAAATGTAAATAACTCAAATAAAATCAAAGTATGTTGGTAGAAAGGTACCTTGGAGGCAGCCCAGTCGATCCATCCTTTGCCATTCGGGTCGATGTTGAGCAGAACCAAACCCTCCACCTTGTCAGGGAAGATGAGCTGCGAGCACAGAACAGAGACTAAACTTCTGCCTCGTTTCAACAGAGAGCGAGCTACGTATCGACTACAAGCAAAGACTGCGTGCACAAATCTGCCTTTAAACATTTTTACAGTATAAACATGTACAATCAGACATTTAAATGCTTCTTTTGAAGGAAAGTTGTGACTTTTAAAACAGCACAGTTTCCATTTTACACATTACTTCACTTTTGTCATCTCCAGAAACTAATGTGCTATTTGGAAGCCATGTCGCTACAGTTACAGAAGCGAATTTATGTGCTTGCATCTGAACGTTTTTTAATTTAGGACACGTGTTTTCACGCAGATTTTTATTCTAGATGTCGGCATGAGAAATTACAAAGTTGCTGCAGCAAAGAAGTTTATTAACGATGAACAGCGTTGTTGCAGAGACATAAAAAAAAATCAGTTTTTTTCATTGTTTGCTTATCTTCCAACCCTTTCTGAACATCTTAATATTACAGCACAAAGAAGCTAAACTTACAGCAAACTTTGCCAGAATATAAGCTCCAGCTCCAACTCCAATCCCAACAATGCTCTTGAATCTGAAAAAAAAGGTTAATAATAATCAGCAGGATGTCCTGATGCATGCTCAGTTTCTCAACCAATAGGATACTGTTTTTTTTTCTTAATAATATTTACAATAAGCCATTATAAATAACATGGGAATGTGGACAATTAATGGTAAAATTACATCTCTTTGCCGATGACTCATATCAGTACGGTAATTGTTGGAGTTCTGTAATTAGCTACACCTGTGGATCTTCGACTTGATGAGCATGAGGAGCATAAAAGGCGTCAGAAGACACTCAGCCAAAGCTGAAGCACTACCTGCCATCGGTAGTCTTGTTCTAGGCTTCTACTTATGTTTAAAACCAAACATTAATAATTTGTATTTCTCTCCGTGCCTCCATTGAGTTTGATGTCCTCTTTTGATGTCCTTCTGTTTCCTGAACCCTCCTTTTGGATCTTGAGCTCCTCTTTGTCTCATCAGCTGCCGCCACGCCTGCCTACCACTCGCCTGAACACCTGCACCTCCTTCACCTGGAATCATATGGGGTCAACCTTCCCCACGTCTGACCCAGACCTCCATAGTAAGGAGAATCCGCAATAATATTATCACCCTTGACTACAAGAACTTTAACCAGCTCTTTGCTCCTCGGGGTTCCAGTCCCCTCCCTGATTTATTGCAGTACAGTAGTCCCTCATTTATCGTGGGGGATCCATACCCCTTAAGTGAAAAACCGCGAAGTAGGAATAGCAGTACAAATAGTAAGTAGTAGTCTATTTTAGTCTATATATATATATATATATATATATATATATATATATAT